AAAAAAAAAACACACCACACAAAAAACAAACCACAAAAACCAAACAACCCAGCCAAGCTGCAATCAAAGGTCTGGAAATCTGGAATGCGTGTGAGATGGGTGTTTTCACTCTGTAGCCCATCCAAGATGTTGCCTCCTGCCTGGCAGAGCCACAGCTCCTAGAGTCTAGAAATTTAATAAAGTAACGTTTTCATCGAGCAGAGCTTTCCAAAACTGGGGAAAAAAAAAAAAAAAAAGGAACAGCAACCCACAACCAGGCAGAAGTAAAGGCAAACCTGGGCTCTCAAAACCCTCGAGAGAACAAGATCCTTCGAGGCAGAGGTGGGAACTGGCAGGTCTCGACCGTTTCCACAGGTTGATCCGGTGATTCCCGCCTTGAGAGGGATGGAAGGACAGTTTTCCCCGTGGTTCCCTTTAGTCCCCTGGTTGGGGATGTTCCTCTGGGGGCTCCTTGGCTCGTTTTGGGGGTGTTCACACCCCGTGTCGTGTGTCCTGCAGGCGAACCTCAAGAAGTTCATGGAGTACGTGCAGATGCTGAACTCGGAGAAGGTCTGCAGGCTCCTGGAGAAGGGACTGGACCCCAACTTCCACGATCCGGATACTGGAGGTGAGCCTGGCTGCTGCAGGGAGGGCAGGGTGGCAGAGCAGGGCCCGGGGGGAACAGAGTGCCCAGGGGGCACGGTGGGAATTTTGGGCAGCGCTTGGTTTCGGGGGGGGGGGGTTTCACAATCAGTGAGTTTGGCACAGGGAGGTGTGAGTTGCACTTCTCTTATGGGATTTGGGAGCTTGGGGGGAAAAAAAGGCTCTTGGGCGGAGATGGTTGGTGTGTCAGAGATCCTGTCAATGCAGCATGACGTGGGAGAGCTGTGGGTCCACACATCCCTCAGGGGGATTTTGGGGAGAGGGAGGCTCCCTCTGCACTGAAAAGCTGGGCAAGTCATGGATCTCTCCATTAAACAGTCAGGAGGTCCAAGAAGTATTTTGGAGATCAAGAAAACAAAATCTTGGCCTCTGTTTCCTCGCTTTTTCCTTCCTTAATTCCATCATTTTTCCTGTCTCTGAGCAAAGCTCACCCAGCAAGGTCTGGTCGGGTTCTCTGCAGGTTCCAGGTTGTGAGAAGCGAGAGTCAGACTCCAGATGTTTGGGAACCAAGGGCCAGCCAGGGAGGACCTCCCCCCATCTCCTAGTGTTGTTCTGACAGAGGAGTGACTGCTTTTGTTGTTGCTGCTTTACAGAAGTGCAGCTCGTTAGTGTTTATTGTTCCGGGTGAGGATCACGGGAGCGTCTCCAGCCCCTCCTCCGGTTGAGTGATTAATTGTCTGTGTTTCTGGTTCACTTGGGTGGTTTATCAGGTTGTTGCTGAAACGCTGTGCCTCTGTACTCAGAAATTTGGGGGATCCAGAGGGTTGTCCAGCACGGGGATGAGGTGCTGTGTGTTGTCACTCGTGCCATTAACCTCTCCCATCCGTGGCTGCCTCCATGCCCGTTGGGAATGGTCCCTACCAGCTCCTCAGCTGGGAAGGTGAAAAGGTGCAGCCAAACTCTGGCAAGAACCATTTGAGGAGTGTTTATGCTGCTTCTTTGCCGGTGAAGCCTCTCCTGAACCTGCCAGAGTGTTGTCACCAACAGCTGCTCGGGTGGAAATCAGCTGGGAATGGTGAGCTGGGGGGGGATCACCTGGAGAAGAGAAGGATCCAGGGAGACCTGAGAGCCCCTGGCAGGGCCTGAAGGGGCTCCAGGAGAGCTGGAGAGGGACTGGGGACAAGGCCTGGAGGGACAGGACACAGGGAATGGCTTCAAACTGACAGAGATTAGGGTTAGATGGGATATTGCTGGGAAGGTGGGAAGGAATTGCTGGCTGTGAGGGTGGGAGACCCTGGCCCAGGTTGCCCAGAGAAGCTGTGGCTGCCCCTGGATCCCTGGAATTGTCCAAGGGCAGGTTGGATGGACCCTGAGGTTGGATTTTTGCAAACCCATGAGGAAAAGGAAAATTGGGAAGGACACTTGGATCTCTACCTTCTGAAAAGGGTCTCAGTGTTGCACCAAGTGAATTATATGAGGCACATGGTTGGTTCTTGGGGTGTCCTGTGCAGGGCCAGGAGCTGGACTTTGATGATCCTTGTGGGTCCGTCCCAGCTCAGGTTGTTCTGTAATTCCATGATTTTCTCAGTTGATGTGTTCCCCACTGCAGGTTTTCATGAAAGACTTTGATTGACACCTGTCAGTCGTGATCCTTTTTTTGTGCCATCTCATTCTGGGAGAAAATAAATGAGCATATGTGGAGCAGAGTTTTGTTTTAGTGAATGGTGAAGTGAAAATGTAATTTTCTGTGTCCTTCCTGCTCTGCCTTTACGTTCCCCAGGCCAAGGGTGAGGGATGGAGGAATATTGTGGCTTGGTTTAAATTCAAGAGGCTTAACCAAGTGTCAGCCTGTGACTCAGGGGTCTCCAAACTGAGCTTGTGCCATCCCCAGGGTTAATGAAAGGAGGAGGCTGTTGGTTTGCCCAAACTGGGAAGGGCACCAGGACTTGCCAGGCACATCTTTGAGATGAGGAATAATGGCAGGAATGTAATTTTTTTCCTCCCTGTGAAGGTGAGGAGCTGTGGCAGAGTGGCTGCTGGGCACACCCTGTGTGCCAGGGGCAGCCCCAGTGCCTGGACAGGGACAGGAGCCTGGAAACCCCCTTTTCCCCGCTGAATGCAGCACTTGTCCTGTGCTGAACTGGCAGCTCCCCGAGGCACACTGGGCTTCCCTGCTTGGAGAAACGTTCTTCTGCAGAGTTTCACCCAGTTAATGGATTGGGAATAACCTGGATGCGCCGTAAAATACCCTGTGCTTTTGTGGTGGCACCATGACAGCAGAGCCCACAGGATGATGTGTGGCATTCCAGCCTCTGGGTATCTTCATTTAAGCTGCTTTTTGGGACTGGTTTTAAGCTGTGCTGAGGCAAAAGAATATATATTCTCCTTCCCATTTTTGTGCTGGAGTGGGAAGGCAGGGAAGAGCCACGTCTGAAAGTGCTGTAGCCCCACTTGCCACCGTTCACCTTTCAGGGTTGCTGGGCAGATATTCCAGGAAAGATTCACTGCCTTTGAAAGACATTAAAAGGGAAAAAAAAAAAATTGACAGTGGCTTCCTGTAGGTACATTCAAAGTGGGTAAAAAAAAAAAAAAAAGTTACACGAGAAGTTACCGTTGGTCTGAAATTAGAGCCAAACCTGGGGGCTGGTGCAGCCTGTGAAAAGACAAAAGCAAGCCTGGATATTTAACAAGGAATGGCACCTGGGGAACAGCAGGAGAGGGAGAGGAGACCAGGAAACCATTGGATTACAAAGAAAGGTTCTGCACTGGGAGCAGCAATAGGAATGGTGGCCCCAAAACGATGTGAGGACAAATAACAGCAGGAATGAGGAACTGGGGAGGAAAAGGAGCTGCTCCCAGGGCTGGATCCCTCTGTTCTGGAGCCAGGCTGGGACAGCTGGGGGGGATCACCTGGGGAAGAGAAGGCTCCAGGGAGAGCTCAGAGCCCTTTGCAGGGCCTAAAGGGGCTCCAGGAGAGCTGGAGAGGGACTGGGGACAAGGCATGGAGGGACAGGACACAGGGAATGGCTTCCCAGTGCCAGAGGGCAGGGACAGATGGGAGATTGGGAAGGAGTTGCTGGCTGGGAGGGCGGGGAGGGGCTGGCACAGGTTGGCCAGAGAAGCTGGAAGTGTTGAAGCCCAGTTTGGACAGGGCTTGGAGCAACCTGGACCAGTGGAAGGTGTCCCTGGAAGCAGAGCCCGAACCCCCCTCCCCCGGCTCCCCCCTCCTGGCAGGGACTTGCAGAGCCAGAAGGTCCCCCCTCAGCCTCCTTTTCTCCAGGATGAGCCCCCCCAGCTCCTTCAGGAGTTCTCCACACCCTTCCCAGCTCCCTTCCCTTCCCTTCCCTCCAGCCTCTCCATGGCTCTCCTGGCTGAGGGTCCAGAACTCCCCCCAGGATTCCAGGGGGGCTTCCCCAGCTCCCAGCACTGGGCCAGTCTCCACAATATTCCTGGGATATTCCAGCCCACATCTCCTTCCTACAGCCATTAATGGCTCCCTTCCCCTGAGCTGTGTCTTCCCTGGCTGCTCCCTGTTTTCTGCTGTGGATCCCCTGCTCTTACCCATTAATTACTTTAAGCCTTTATTTGGCTTCTCACGTCTCCAAGAATTAACAGGCTGTAATCACCAAAGTCCTGGATTAGTGGTTACAGTGGGTTTAGGGAACAAGTTCCTGGCTGCAGTTCCTCAGGAACGCCCTGTTTGGACCTTTCTCCAAATTTTAGGGCCCAGGATAACGGGATAGATTTGTCAGCCGAGTTTGGTGTGTTAATAACAGAGACTCCAGGATGGTTTGAAGCCTCTTCTGTGACTTTTGCCTCTTTGAAAAATCTAATTTAAACTTGGAAAAGTGATTTAACAGCAGGTGGAAGTGGAGGCAGGTGCCTGGAGCAGGGACTGGTGGGGATAGACCCGAAGTCTGGGGCAGCCTGAGTTCTGGACACACTGAAGGGCCAAACTTGTGCTCTTCAAATAACTCAAAATAACCAAAAAGAGTAAAGAGGTTTTAGATAAATTGTGGTGGAGAATTAGAGCAACCTTGGAATGGAGGGATGGTCCTTACAGGTCATAATGTCACCGGGCTCCCCTCCGTGGTTTCCCTTCGCCTTCAGCTGGAGGGGGCCCAAGACTAAGACATGGGAGTGAACACTGGGGGGCTGCAGAGCAGCAGGGTTTGGTGCTGATGGAGAGGAGGGGAAAGTCCCTCCTGCCCCAGGAGCTCACCCAAAGCCACCTGCTCTCCATCTCCCTGTGGACCCCTTTGAGGGTGGGGTATAAATTTTTGTGTTTATAGAAAAGGAAAGGGTTATATTTTTATACATATAAAATATCTATTGTATTACAATAAACAAATATAACTTTAAAGATAATAAATGTTATAATATTTTCTAAAATATAAAATAACTTGCAATAGATAAATATATAAATGAACATTATTTATAATTAGTAAATATTATGGATAGTAAATATATTAGAAGCCCCAGCTGTAATGTTCAGGGATCTCTTCTCTGTGGGGACCAGGGACAGCCCCCAGGGAAGGGCTGGAGCTGTGCCAGGGCAGGCTCAGGGTGGATCTCAGGGAAAGGTCCTTCCCCCAGAGGGTGGTTGGCACTGAACAGGCTGCCCAGGGCAGTGGGCACAGCCCCAAGGCTGCCAGAGCTGCAGGAGGGTTGGGATGATCCTCTGGGGCACAGGGTGTGGGACTCTCAGGGATGATCCCATGCAGGGCTGGGCATTGGACTGGGTGGTCCTTGTGGGGTTCTGTGATAACCTTCCCTCCTGTTCCCCACCCAGCAGCTCCCCGTGGCTGGGTGGGCAGCAGCACCTTGTTGGGTGGGAGCTGCTGGTTTGGGTCTGGGGTCACGTTTGCTCGGGTGGGGCTCGGTGGGCACGGCGGTGCCCGCGAGGGGGTGGGTGCCCCGTGGCCCTCCCCCCGTTTCCCCCAGCCGTGTCTCTCCCCGCTCCCCCAGAGTGTCCCCTGACGGCGGCGGCGCAGCTGGAGCTCAGCACCGACATGATCAAGGCCCTGCGCAACGGGGGAGCCCACCTGGATTTCCGGACGCGGGAGGGGATGACGGCCCTGCACAAGGCCGTGCGCTGCCGCAACCACGCCGCGCTGCTGGTGAGCTGGGGCTGTGCCTGCCCTCCCCTGCCCGCCTCCCACGGCCACCCTGCGGGCACAGCCCCTCTGCTGCTGCTGCTGCTGCTGCTGCCCCGAGCCTCGTGGGCACGGAGCATCCCCGGCTGGGCTCCAGGGCGGGTTTCCCTCCTGGGGCAGCAGGACGAGGTGGGCTCTTCTCTTGCAGACGCTGCTGGACCTGGGAGCGTCCCCGGACTACAAGGACAGCCGGGGGCTGACGCCCCTGTACCACAGTGCCATGGTGGGGGGGGACCCGTACTGCTGCGAGCTCCTCCTGCACGACTACGCCCGGCTCGGCTGCGTGGACGAGAACGGCTGGCAGGAGATCCACCAGGTGGGATGGGATCCAGTGGGATGGGATCTGCTGTCCTGGGGCTGGTGGATGGGGTCCTCCCCTCCCCTGGGGTGCCCAAGGCTCGGTGGGGTTGGTGAGGGCTGAACGTGCCGTGCCAGCCCCTGGCTCCCTCCCAGGTCAGTGTTCCGGCTGTTTTCTTCTGGCCTCAGTCAGGAGTGGCTGGGATCCTCCCCAGATGATGCCTGGCTCAAAGGATAACGCTCTCACATCCTGGTCCAACCACCCAAGGCATCCTGGTTCCAAACCCAGCTGTGCCTGTCTCTGTTTTATACACTGACAAGTGGATTTGGCACAGGGATTTGGCCTGGATTGGGGGGTAAGGGATCTGAGCCAGCTTTGTGCTTCTCCCTTTGGGGCAAGGGGGATGAGCCCATATTGGAGGGCAGGTTGGGCCTGTGGCCTCCCAAAACCCCCCAGCTGTCTACCCCCTCCAAGAGGGATGAGTGGTGGCACAGCTACGGATGAGAACGAGAAACAGGAGGTGTTTGGAGTGTCAGTTTATGGATATGACTATCCCTACTGCCTCCATCCTCCTTGGCTGATCTTAGAGAGCTGCTGGTCCTGGGATGGACCAAAGGGAGAGGAAAACACCCCAGTTAACCAGAGATGTGGGGGCTTGTCCTCTGCTCGGCCTGTGTGTGCTCAGGGCTTCTCACCTGCAGTCACCCTGAGACAGCCAGCAGGCTGGAGGAGGCTCTGGCACCAGATTTTCCTGTTGATCCAGAGGTAATTTATCCAGTAAGTGTCCAGGTGTGTGGAGCTGTGAGGAGCAGGTTGCAGGTCGCAGCTCCAGCCTGACCGCACTTTTGGAGCGTGGCTGAACCCAGCTGAGGGTGTTGTGGGGTTTTATCACCTTCCTGCCACCCCTGACTCTCCTCTCTTCCCCTTTCCCAGGCGTGTCGCTACGGCCACGTGCAGCACCTGGAGCACCTCCTGTTCTACGGGGCCGACATGACCGCCCAGAACGCCTCAGGAAACACCGCCCTGCACATCTGTGCCCTCTACAACCAGGTACGACGGGCAGCAGGGCCAGGGGGACCAGGCAGGGGGTGGGCACCGTCCTGGCTTGAGCCCCTCTCAGTGCTCCTGCTGCTCCCAGAGCCACGGGGGTTCTTCAGAGTGCAGTCCACGAGGCTGTTTCTGATTGTAGCACCAGCCTGATTCTGGATTTCTCAAGAGTCAAGTGGCCATGGTTTACCCTGTTCTGTTCCCAAGATGTTTTGCTGCTTAGTTTTTCCTCCATAATTTCTCCTCCAGTTCCCTTTCCTGCTTCACAGCAGGTCCCTGGGACTGGCTGGGAGGGAGAAGTTTGCTGGGTGGAGGCCGTGGAGCTCACATTCAATTTGAGATGGGCACATCCTGCGGCTTCCAGCCCTCTCTAGATAAGCCTGGGGTCCTGTCCTGCTCACAAACAGCCCTCAGTTCTTCCTGCTAATCTCAGAATTTTGGAGAAGACTGTGCAGGCAGCACAGGGCCCCATTCCTGTTCCATCTGCTGTGTGGTCACTCGGTTCAGGGAAGTTGAGGGGGCTGGAAGAGCCCTCTCTGATCTCACAGCCCCGCTGCTCTCTGAGCAGCATCTGAGCATCTCTCCTGGAGGGTTTGCTCCTTCCTAGACATTTTTATCTGCTGGATTAAGAGCTTTTTTGACTGTAAAAGGGAATTCCCAGTTTCTGAGGTGCTTTAAGAACTGAAGCCTGTCCTGGTTTGCCCGTGGTAGGTGGGGGATGGTTTGTGGCGTGGGGGGTTCATTCTGCACACCGAGGGCTCTTGGACCCATGTCCCTGCCCACGGGGGTGGGAGGGAGAAGGGCACTGAAGGGGCTTATAACATGTTGAATTAGCAGCATGGAGAAGCACAGAGCACTCAAACCAATACAAAGCTTTAGGAAACAGCAGGACCTGGGAATGTGTGGTGGCCACGGTGCCAGTGCCCCCGAGGATGGACTTGTCTAGTGTAAGGTGTCCCTGCCCGTGGCAGGAGGTTGGAACTGGATGATCCATAAGGTCTTTCCAACCCAAACCATCCTGTAATTCCATGATTCCATGACTGGGTGTTGAGGATTCCCAGTTAACAGGGGATCATCGCCCTTCCCTGCTCTTGCCGAGGGAGCTTCCCGAGCTCAGCGACCTCTGGGGTTGGCTGGGGTGTTGCCACCACTCTGAAGCGCTGATGGCCTCTTCCCTTTCCCCTTCCCAGGAGAGCTGTGCCCGGGTTCTCCTCTTCCGTGGTGCCAGCAAGGAGATCCGGAACTACAACAGCCAGACGGCGTTCCAGGTGAGCGGGGAGAGCTGGGCCCGTCCTCCCATGGACCTGCCCCAACGAGGGCAGCTCTCAGACCCTCTGGCTGGGGATGCCTGTCCCATCTCCAGCTGAAGGGCTGGAGCAGGAGGGGGGAGGAGAGCACGAGGTACCCGTGGGAAGGGCTGCCAGGGCGGGGCCGTGTGGGGGGACACCGGGATGGGGGGGACACCGAGCTCGGATCACCTGGACATGTGTCGTGGAGGTGGAAAGGAGGAGCTGCTGGCTGTAGGAATGTAAATGTTAGAGCAGGAGCAGAATCCTTGGAGCAGGAGCAGAGTCCCTGGAGGAGGAGCAGGTTCCTCAGAAATGAAGGACGACGTTGCCACAGAGATGAACGCACCTGAATTTATGAAGTTAATCGTGAGGGTAGGGGAGCTCTAGAGTGAAACTCTGGAATGGCTTTCTAGGAAATGTGCTGTGTACCACAGGTGGCAAAGGGAAACTTGGTGGTTTTCCAGTGTGACTCCTTCCCTGAGTTTGCAAACTGTGGGAAGGGAGTTCCTGCAGGATGCTGGAGGTGAGGCAGGAGGTCTCTTCCCATCTCAGCTCTGTCCTGATGTCTTACAAAGCAGGAGAGCCTCTCTGCCCGTGCTGCTGCTGAGGCACAGCCCATTCCCAGAGCACTCTGCAGGAATGTTGTGACTCAGTGTCCAGCTGCTGCTGCTCCTCAGGTGTCCCTCGAGGGCAGGGAGTGCCTGTGAGTGTCCTGCTCCCAGCCCAGGTCTGAGGCTGCAGATGGGCTTGTTAATTATCAGCCCTTTAGCAATGCTCTTTCTTGCTTCTCCTTCTTTCTTGCTTCTCCTTCAGTGGTGGCTGTAGAGGTTTCAGGCCACCGAGTCTCAAGTGTGACCAGGATGGTGTCACACAGTCCTTGTGAGTGCTTAGTAGGAGATGTCCCTGCCTATGCAGGGGGTGGCACTGGATGGGCTTTAAAGTCCTTTTTAATCCAAGCTTTTATTAAATTTAATTAAATTTAATTAAAGCTTTTAACCCAAGCCATGATTCCTGCAGGAAACACTCCCAGCTTTCAGCAAGAAACTCTCCCTCCCTTTGTTGCTTGAGGCTTCAACATGTCATGAAGTCCAGTGCCCACCCTGCTTCTTTCTTGTGTCCTGCCATGGCAAAGGGGGTGGTGCCTTCCTGGGCTGGGGTTGGGGCAGGGCAGAGGGAGCCCTGAATAGCCACAGAAATCATGGAAATCCCTCTGCTGCTGCACGGCCACTCCTGCTCACACCTCTGCTAATTTGACTGCTGTTGCTAATGAGATACTTGGTGTCAGTGGCCTGAGATGACTTTAAGATAGCAGCGAGTAATTTAGAGGCTTTAGGACCTGTAATCTCCTGGGTTGTGGCCCCAAGGCAAAGCAGCTCATTGCAGGGGTGATGTGCCACCTCCTGTGTGTCTGGAGAACCCCCTTGCTGTTGGTGGTGTCACCTCTGTGGGCTGGTCCAGGTTCCAGGGGAGGCAGGAACAGGGTGGGTTTAGGGACAGAGTTTTCCCAGAGTATCTTACCAGCCTCTGGCACTCTGCATCCCAGTTTTCCTGAGCCAGGTTTGTACCTGCATCCATCTTCCACTGCTCTGAGCTGGCTTTTCATCCATCAGTCGTCTCAGGGAGCCCCCTGTGCGGGTGCAGCCACTCCCAAAACTCCCCAGCAAGAGGGTCCCAAACTGCTGCTGTTCAGTGGCTGTTCCAAATGGTTCGTCCTCTTTTCCTTTCCCAGTCAATCCCAGCTGCTCCAGGTGGCTGGTGCAAGCTGGGGGTAAGACCCTTCCTTCCTCAGCTTTGCTTTCTCATCCCTTGGCTCCTCTCTGCCAGCACATCAGGTCCTGCTTATCTTTTCTTCCTGGGTTTTCCGATGTCTTAAGGCCTCAGTAAGTGTTTCCTTCCTCAGGAACACGTGGGAGGGGATTAACCCAGGTGTCACATGCTGACAACCCCACATTTGGAACCTCTGGGTCATTTTTTTCCCCTCCTTTCATTTAATAAAAGTAACTTTTATCTCCAGCTCTGTGTAAAAAGTGGGGCAGGGCCAGTTCCTCATGGTCAGGTAATCACCTGCCTTGCACTCTGTTTTTCAGCGGTTTCCTGCCAAGCATCATCCAAGTTTTTATCACCCACAGTGGCCACAGGACAAATTTTAGAGTCATGGAATGGTCTGGGTTGGGAGGGACCTTAAAGATCATCCAGTTATGGGGTGGAACCTTCTCCCCTGGGGGTTTCCACAAATCCTGTTGCTTGTCCAAAGTCGAAGGTGGCTTTTTCTTCGTCTCCTCAGCAGCGTTTCTGGTGCCTCGTGTCCCTCAGGGGACATTTACTTACCCAGGGTGGGTAAAACAGGTGGCAAATAGAAAAATACGTAAAAATAGATTAACAAAATATATCAAAGTATGTAAATTATAAATTTGGAAATGTATACAGGCATATGAATATAAATATAAATACAGATAGAGATATAAATATGAACATCTCTAAGTTCTTATTTTTGAGGGGGTTTGTTGATTTTTCCAGCCAATAAAGATGGCTGTGAGGACTTATCAAAATGGTAACCCCAGTGCTGGAAGTCTTAAATATCAACAGATAATAATTCAGTGGGACACATTTGTTAAAAAAAAAGCCCCAAACCTTCATAATTTCTTCTCCTATTGATCTAAGGGTTTGTTTATTTCTGTGAGCAGGTGACTCAGGTATTGAGCTGGAACCTGAGGTCGTGATTTCTTCCCTGCCTGATTTGTGTGCCAGAGGAGCCGTGGGATCACTGGTGTTGGCTCATCCCAAACATGCCTGATGGAGGTTTGAGAAGAGCAGACAAGGTTCTTAATGAGCAGTAAATGTCAGTTTTGTACAAGTTCCTTTGTCCCCGTGACACTCCTGCTTGAACTTTTCCATTTCTACACATGCAGGATGATCATATGCAGAATTTAAAAATAGTGGCTTCCCATTTCTTTAAGTTTCATGGAAATTCAACAGTCAGAGCTGCTGCTTTTCTGTCAAAAAGCTGTGTGTACTTTTAATTGCTGCATTTTTGTGGGCCTTCTCCCTCCAGGCTAAATCCTTCCAGACAGGTTTTCGTGGTGGATGGGTTTTTTTGTGGATAATTTAGGGTTGCTAATGGTGATACAAGTAAACAAGATTTCTTAGTTCAGGTTTTGGTGCTGTAGAGCTGCTCTGGTCATGGTGCCCTTGGTCACTTGTGCTGGTAAAAGTGACCTCGGTCCCCCCTGGAACCCTGGGGACAGTTCTGGGTCCTCAGCCAGGAGAGCCATGGAGGGGCTGGAGCGTGTGCAGGGCAGGGAAGGGAGCTGGGAAGGGTGTGGAGAACTCCTGAGGGAGCTGGGGGGGCTCATCCTGGAGAAAAGGAGGCTCAGGGGGGACCTTCTGGCTCTGCAAGTCCCTGCCAGGAGGGGGGAGCCGGGGGAGGTCGGGCTCTGCTCCCAGGGAACAGGGACAGGACAAGGGGAAACGGCCTCAAGTGGCACCAGAGAAGTTATAAGTTGAATATCAGGGAAATTTCCCTCATGGAAAGGGTTGTCCAGCCCTGGCACAGCTGCCCAGGGAGGTTTGGAGTGCCCAGGCCTGGAGGTGTCCCAGGCAGGCCTGGCCGTGGCACTCAGTGCTCTGGGCTGGGGGACAAGGTGGGGATGGGGCACAGGGGGGATCCATGGGCTGGGAGGGCTTTTCCAGCCTCAGGTGTTCTGTGGCTTCCTGCTGCTTCCCAGCTTTCTATGGCACTTGTGGAGCCACCCAGACTGGGATGCTCGGGGACGTTTCTGCCCTGCTCTGAAGGCCACCCCCATTTCTGCAGGGGCTGCTCGGGGCTGTTCCCAGCTTAGTCTGGGACCCCCTCCTGCCTGGAATGCTCCCTCCTTGTCCTCATTCCCATCCTCACCCTCTTCCCTCATGGAAAACCCTTCCATTTTGCCCAGACACCCAACCCGTCAGAGAAGAGCCTGGCTCCGTATCCCTCAATCCTTGTGCAGAAACTGTCATTACCTTTGTCTCTATTGATTAAACCCCCGCCCCTTCCCACCTCCCTGTTCTTGAGTTTCCAACGATCCTTTCAGTTCTAATCCTTTAATGACTTTGCATCACCTCCCAGCTCGGGCTCATCGAGGAATTTAATAAGCGTATTCTGCACTCCATCATCCCGGCTGTTAATGACAAAATTGGATCCTGAACTGGGGTAGGGGCCTGTGAAATCCATTTGGCAGACGTTTTTTAGGCTGACAGTTAGTCATGAATTAGGTTTCTGATCAGTTTTTCATCTCTTGGCAGGAGCTTCGGCTCGATTTAATTTCTGTTGTTTCTGGGGATGTCACATAAGGCTGTCAAGATTCCTGCAGGAGACAGGGGGGTGATACCTCCCGTTTCTTTGCTCTTCACAAAGCCTGGCCTGCTTCCCTCTCCTGGAAGCAGCCTGGATCCCTTCAGTTCAGTCTGCTCCTTGCAAGCTGCTGTTGTCAGGCACCCCTGCTCAGCCCAGCGTTTTTGTGGGCAGCAAAATGAGGCTGCCTGGCCTCCAGCGTTCCTCCAACCTCCTGACGTGGTGATATTTGCTGTTTGTGGAGTAGAAAGCTCGAGGAAAAAGGGATCAAACCCTCAGGTGTGCCAGAGCTTTCCTGCCCCACCGGTGCTCCTGTGGTCTCCAGTGACCCCTGCCTGGAGTGTGGGGAGATGTTCTCCTCTTCTTTCCACGCCTGGCTCGCTGCATCCCGTTTTTTCTTAACCTTTCTCGGCCTCCTTTGCACCTGCCATGGGTGTAATTGGGCCTTCAGACCCTTCAACCCCGAGAGCTCCACGCTTGGATGTTGCCTGGCCACACCATTTACAGCAGCGTTTGGCCGCGATGCCAACAGGCCTTTCGATGTGTTTTCTTCAGAGATTCGTATCTTGTTGCTTTTTAAAATAGACATCGTGGTCTGAACTCTGCAGTTTGCAGTTGTGTTGCCCAGGCAACGGAATATTCTCAAACG